CAGAGTGCTAGACCAGTTTGCATTCCCACTGATGGTGCAAGAGTGTTCCCCTTTCTCCACATCCTCGCCAACACCTCTTATTTCTTGTGTTCATTTTAGCCATTCTGACAGGTGTGAAGTGATATATCATTGTGGTTTTGATTTGTATTTCCTGATGATAAGTGATGTAGAGCATCTTTTCATGTGTCTGTTGGCCATCAGTATGTCATCTTTGGAAAAATAACTATTCTTCTGCCCATTTTTAATGGTGTTGAGTTTTATAAGTTCTTTACATGTTTTGGATACTAACCCTTTGTCAGATCTATTATTTGCAAATATTGTATCCCATTCCAAAGGTTGCCTTTTACTTTATTGATTGTTTCCTTCATTATGCAAAAGGTTTTTATTTTGATGTAGTCCCAATAGCTTATTTTTGCTTTTGTTTCCCTTGCCTCAGGAGACATACCTAGAAGTTGCTATGGCCATTGTCAAAGAGGTTACTGCCTGTGTTCTTTTCTTGGATTTTCATGGTTTCCTCTATCACACTTTGGTCTTTAATCCGCTTTGAATTTATTTCTGTGTTGGTGTAATAAAGTGATCCAGTTTCATTCTTGTGCATGTTGCTGTCCAGTTTTCCCAATGTTGTTGAAGAGACTCTTCCCCATTGGATATTCTTTCCTGCTTTGTCAAAGGTTAATTGACCATATAGTTGTGGGTTCATTTCTGGGTTTTCTATCTTGTTCCATTGATCTATGTGTCTGTTTCTGTGCCAGTACCATACTGTCTTGACACTATAGCTTTGTGATATAACTTGAAGTCCAGAATTGTTATTCCTCCAGCTTTGCTGCTTTTTTTGAAGATTGCTTTGCTCTTTGGAGTCTTTTGTGGTTCCATACAGATTTTAGGATTGTTTGTTCTGGCTCTGTGAAAAATGCTGATGGTGTTTTGATATGGATTGCATTAAATGTGTAGATTGCTTTGGGTGGTACAGACATTTTAACAATATTCCAATCCATGAGCATGAAAGGTCTTTCCATTTCTTTTTGTCATCTTCAATTACTTTTATCATTGTTTTATAGTTTTCAGAATATAGATCTTTCACCTCTTTAGTTAGGTTTATTCCTAGGTATCTTGTTATTTTGGTGCAATTGTAAATGGGATTGATTTCTTAATTTCTCTTTCTGCTGCTTCAATATTGGTGTATAGAAATGCAAGATTTCTGTACGTGAATTTTGTATCCTGCTACCTTACTGAATTTGTTTATCAGTTCTAGCAGTTTTGGGGTGGAGTCTTTTGGGTTTTCTGTATAGAGTATCATGTCATCTGTATCATGTCATCTGCAAATAGTGAAAGTTTGACATCTTCCTTGCTGATTTGGATACTTTTTATTGTCTGATTGCATGGCTAGAACTTTATTAATATGTTAATAACAGTGGTGAGATTGGACATCACTGTCTTCTTCCTGACTGTAGAGGAAAAGCTTTTTTTCCCCACTGGGGATAATATTAGCTGTAGGTTTTTCATATGTGGCCTTTATTATGTTGAAGTATGTTCTCCCTAACCTACTTTATTGAGGATTTTTATTATGAATGGATGTTTTACTTTGTCAAATGCTTCTTCTTCATCTATTGAAATGATTATATGGTTCTTATTCTTTATTAATGTGATATATAACATTGATTGATTTGCAGATATCGAACCACCCTTGCAACACAGGAATAAATCCCAGTTGATTGTGGTGAATATATTTTTTTTATTGTTGGATTTGGTTTGCTAGTATTTTAATGAGCATTTTTGCTTCCATGTTCATCAGGGATATTGGCCTGTAACTTTCTTTTTTAAGTGGAGTTTTCATCTGGTTTTGGTATCAGGGTAATGCTGGACTCATAATGGATTTGAAAGTTTTCCTTTTTTTTATTTTTTGGAATAATTTGAGAAGAATAGGTATTAACTCTTCCTTAAATGCTTGGTAGAATTTGCCTGTGAATCCATCTGGCTCTGGACTTGTTTTTTGGGAGTCTTTTGGTTACTGATACAATTTCTTTGCTGGTTGTCAGTCTGTTCAAGTTTTCTATCTCTTCCTTTTTCACTTTTGGTGGTTTATATGTTTCTTAGAATTTATCCATTTCTTCCACATTGCCAATTTGTTGACATAAAGCTTTTGATGATATTCTCTTATGTGTTTGTATTTCTGTGGTGGTGTTTGTGATCTCTCCTTTCTTATTTGTGATTTTATTTATTTGTGTTCTTTCTCTTTTCAGTAAGTCTGGCTAGGGGTTTATCACTTTATTAATTTTTTGAAAGAACCAGCTACTGGTTTCATTCATCTGTTCTATTGGGTTTTTTTGTTTCTATATCATGTATTTCTGCTCTAATCTTTATTATTTCCTTCCTTCTGCTGGCTTTGGGCTTTGTTTGTAGTTATTTTTCTAGTTCCTTTAAGTGGAAGGTTAAGTTGTTTGAGATTTTTTCTTCCTGAGGTAGGACCAGATTGCTATCCACTTCCCTTTGAAGACAACTTTTTCTGTATCCCAAAGGTTTTGGATCACTGTGTTTGCATTTTCACTTGTTTCCATGTATTTTTTTTTTCTTCTTTGATTTTCTGGTTGACTCATTCATTGTTTAGTAGCCTGTTGTTTAGCCTCCATGTATTTGTGGTCTTTCCAATTTTTTTTCTTGTGGTTAACTTGTATTTTCATAGCATTGTAAGAAATGGTGCATGATATGATTTCACTCTTTGTATTTGTTGAGGCCTATTTTGTGATCTAATATATGATCTATTCTGGAGAATGTTTCATGTATACCTCAAAAGGATATGTTTTCTGCTGTTTTAGGTTGGATGTTCTGAATAGATCTGTTAAGTCCTTCTGGTCCAGTGTGTCATTCAAAGCCATTGTTTCCTTTTTACTTGTTGATTTTCTGTTTAGATGCCCATTGATTTAAGTGGGGTGTTAAAGTCCACTACTATTATTGTGTTATTATCAATTAGTTGCTTTATGTTTGTTATTGATTTGTATATTTGGGTGCCTTCATGTTGGGTGCATAAATATTTACAGTTGGATCTTGTTGGGTTGTCTATGATTATGTAGTGCTTTTGTGTCTTTATTTTAAAGTCTAGTTTGTCCAATATGAGAATTGTTACTCCAGCTTTCTTTTGACATCCATTTGCATGATAAATATTTCTCCACCCCCTAGATTTCAATCTGCAAGTGTCTTTAGGTTTAAAATGAGTCTCTTAAAGGCAGCATGTAGATGGATCTTGTTTGTTTTTTTTTTATTAATCCATTCTGACACCCTGTGTCTTTTGATTGGAGTATTTAGTCCATTTATAATCGAGTATTGATGGATATGTATTTATTGCCATTTTATTGTTTTGTTGTTTCTGGAGATTTTGTCTGATCCTTTTTGTCTTTGTCACTTTTGGTCTCCTTTGTACTCAAAAAAAGTTATCTTTAATGTTTTTTTGGGGGGGGGCCTGGTTTAGTGGTCATGAACTTCTTTATTATTTTTCTGGGGAACTCTTTATCTCTCCCTTTATTCTGAATGAGCCTTGCTGGCTAGAATATTCTTGCCTGCAGATTTTTCCCAGTCAGCACTTTGAATGTATCATGCCACTTCCTTCTGGCTTGCCAAGTTTCTCTTGAGAAATCTCCTGCCAGTTTTTCTCTTGAGAAAAATTTAGGGGTTTTCCCTTGTAAGTTAAGGATTTCTTTTCTCTTGCTGCTTTATAAGATTTTTTTATCACTATGTTTTGCAAATTTAATTGCAATATGTCTTGGTGTTGGCCTGCTTTCCTTGATTTTTGGTGGGACTTCTCTGTGCCTCCTGGATCTGAATGTCTGTTTCCTTCCCAGATTAGGTAAGTTTTATGCTACTATTTCTTGAAGTAAATTTTCTGCCCCCTTTCTCTCTCTCCTTCTTCTGTGACTCCTATAATATGAAAACTATTATGCTTGATGAAGTCACTGAATTCCCTAAGTCTATTCTCATGTTGCATAATTCTTTCTCTGTTTTGTTCAGCTTCATTCTTTTATGTTGTGTCTTCTAGGTCACTAATTCATTCCTCTGATACTCCCACTCTGCTGTTCATTGCATCAAGTCTGTTTCCAGTATCATTCACTGCATTCTTCATCTCTGATTCTTTTTTACCTCTTTTATCTCTGTGGTAATGGTCTTACTGATACTTTCTATTCTTTTTTCAAGTCCAGTGAGTATCCTTATGATTGTTTCTTTACATTCTCCATCAGACATGTTACTTGTATCTGTTTCTCTTAGAACTCTGGCTGTGGCTTATCTTGTTCTTTCATTTGGGATAAATTACTCTGTTGGCATTTTGTCCAGGTCTCTGCCTTTTTCTGTGTGTTAGAAAGCCAGTTATGTCTCTTGCTCCTGAAAGTAATGGCCTTATCAAGAAGAGGTCATGTAGCACCCAGGGCCTGGTGCTTGAAGAAATGTCTCTGGTGTGTGCTGCATGCACTCTGTTGTCGTGTTTTGGCTACTCTACCTATCCTTCAGGCCAGTCTTCTGCAGAGGCTCTCCTTGCCTGCTGTGGGCAGTGTTTGGTCCCTGGCCTGAATGTGGTGAGTTTTTTATTTATTTATTTATTTATTTTGAGAAAGATAGAGATTGTGCAAATGGGGGAGGGGCAGAGAGAGGGAGACAGAGAATCCCAAGCAGGCTCCACACTGTCAGCTTGGAGCCCAATGTGGGACTTGAACTCACGAAACCGTGAGATCATGACCCAAGCCTAAACCAAGAGTCAGATGCTTAACCAACTGAGCCACCCAGGTGCCCCCTGCCTTTTAAAAAAATTTTTTTATGTGGTGAGTTTTAAGTAGGCATGCTCTGGTGTGCTTGTGAAATGAGAAGTGACATGACTTCCACAAGGAATGAGGCCATGCAGAACTCTCTGGTTGGGAGACATAGTGTGGGCAGGGGTTTGTGCTGGTCTTCTGCGGGAAGCCCTCCCCACCCTACCGTGCTATGACTGAGGAAAACATGACTGAGAAGGTCTTTCCTACCTGAGCACAGGGGGTCAGGCTTAGTGTAAGCAAGTTAGGCAGCCAGTGTCTGCTCTGTGCTGCTTCCTGCAGGTGGCTCTGTGTGCTGAGGGGCAGAGGAAGGAAATGGCACCAGCCAACTCCTTTGTTCCCAGAGAGGGGTCTCTGAATCTGCCTCTTAGGGACATGGTCTGAGAAGAGCAAATAATCTTTCCACTCAGTGCCCCAGGAATTCTTCAAATGGCTGTTTCTATACCATGTGCTCCCAGGTTATTTGCCTAATGAGGGCTATCTCAGCAAGCCCATTGACTTCTAAATCTCCAGGCTTTAAGACCCACTGGTTGCAAGAACTCATGAAATTTAACCCCTCTTAGCCAATGGCTTTGGGGAAACATCTCCTTGTGTGTTACCCTGTGTGCTCCTCTCCCTCTCACCCTTTTCTATGACCATGGCTCCATTCCCTCTGTAGCACCTGGGATACCTTTCTCCCCTAAAGTACACAGCTCTGCACTTCCTACTTTTTTTGATGTGGCCTTTTCTCTCCCTTTAGTTGTGGAGTCTGTCAGGCCTCGGGTTGATTTCTCTGTTTGAGGATTTGAACAACAGAAATGTGGGGTGCCTGCGTGGCTCAGTTGGTTAAACATAGACTTCGGCTCAGGTCATTTCAGGGTTCATGAGTTCAAGTTCTGCATCGGGCTCTGGGGATAGCTCAGGGCCTGGAGCCTACCTCAGATTCTGTGTCTCCCTCTCTCTCTGTCCTCCCCTATTTGTGCTCTTTGTCTGTGTCTCTCTCAAAAATAAACATTAAAAAAATAAAAACATAAACAACTGTTAGGAAGTTGGGCGGTTGGTGCTTGTGGTTTCTGGGGGTGATAATAAGGTTTTTATAGCAATCCTGGGTTTCCTCTGAAAATCAGTTGATTGTCCTGTAGTTTCAAATCTAGGTGTTCATTTGGTTGGCTCTTGTAAATCCAGTGACATTTAAAAGTAAATGCCTATTCTTGGTTTCTTGTTATCTCTTATCCCTAAATGTGAAGGGAAATGGGAAAGAAGCAAAAATTGAATATACATAAAATTTACCGTTTTAACTATTTTTAAGTGTACTGTTCAGTGGCATTAGGTACATTCGCTTTATAAGCAACCATCGCCTCTGTCCATCTCCGGACATTCTGTGACATTCCAGAATGACAGTCTGTGTCATTCCAGACTGAAACTCTGTACCCATTAAATAATAAGTCCCCTTTTCTCCCTCCCTGGTAAACTATAATCTACTTTCCCTATGAATTGGACTATTCTAGATACCTTATATAAGGTAAAAATCATACAAAATTTGTCCTTTTGTGTCTCGCTTATTTCACTTAGCATAAAATGGTCAAGGTTCATCCACATTGTACAATGTATCAAAATTTCATGCCTTTTTTTGTGTGGGGGGGTTGGCGATTGTGAGTGCTTCTTGGAACGTTGTTGTATGGATATTCGTTTCTGCTTTCAATCCTTTTATATATATATAGACAAAAATGGAACTGCTGGATCATATGACAAGTCCATGTTTAATTTTTTGAGGAACTTATATACTGTTTTAGATAACAGCAGCACCATTTTACATTCCCACCAACAGAGGAAATGCAGGTTTGAATTACTCTAAATCCTAGTTAATGCCTGTTATTTTCTGTTTTTTTTCTTTTGTTTTTATAATAGCCATCCAATGGGCATGAAGTGGTATCTCATTGTGGTTTTGATTTGTGTTTTCCTAATGATTAGTGATGTTGACCATCTTTTCATGTGCTTGTTCACCATTTGTGTATATGTTTTGGAGAACTGTCTATTCAAGTTCTTTGCCCATTTTTAATTTAGTTGATTTGTGGGTTTTGTTGAGTTTTAGGAGTTCTTGATAAATTATGTATGTTAATCCTATATCAGATATGTGATTTTCAAATATGTTCTCCCATTCTTAGTGTTGCCTTTTTATTTTGTGTCCTTTGCCCTAAAGTTTTAAATTTTGACAAAGTTTATTATATTTTTTCTTTTGTTGCCTGTGTCCTAGCCAATAAGTTGTCACCAAATTTGTTGTCATAAAGCTTTTCCCCTATGTTTTCTTCTAGTAGTTGCATAATTTTAGCTCTAATATTTAGATAATTAATGTTAATCTGTTTTGAGTTAATTTTTGTACATAGTGTTAGGTAGGGGTTCATCTTAATTCTGCGTGTGAGTATATAGTTTTTCCCAACACCATTTGTGGAAAAGACTGTCCTTCCCTCATTGAATGATCTTGGCACTTTTGTCAAAAATGAATTGACTATACATGTGAGGGTTTATTTCTGGACTCTCTTTTCCATTAGTCTATATCTGTATGCCAATACCACTAGTTTGATTGCTATTGTTTTGTAGGAAATGTTTTAAACAGCCTTTCAACTTTATTCTCTTTCAAGATTGTTTGGGCTACTTGGGGTCCCTTGAGATTCCAAATTAATTTTAGGAAGGATTTTTCTATTTCTGCAAAAAAAAAATGTTGGGATTTTTATAGGGGTTGCATTAAATCTGCAAATTTTGGGCGGTAGTATTTGGCATTTTGACAATATTGTATTTCAGTCTGTGGACATGGGATGTCATTCCATTTATTCATGTTTTTAATTCCTTTCAGCAATGTTTTGTAGTATTCATTGTACAAATATTTTGCTTACTTGGTTAAGCTTATTCTTAATTTTATTCTTTTGATGCTACCTGTTAGGTAATAAATTAGTTTTGGTTTCTGTCCTAGATCTGAAAAAAATGCTACTTATATACTACTAATGGAACTGAGGGAAACTTTAGGTACACAGAGCTACATAAAAAGATCTTAAAAATATGATCGGTCATAGAAAAATGGGGAAAAATCTGTTCT